ATACCAGGGCACGTCCTGCCTTTATGGACCAAATTTCCAATACGACCCCCCCCCCCCCCTCAAAATTTCCTCCATTGCTACGACCCACCTGCCTTCGTGCCTCTCCTCATTCTACCCACCATCTTCCTAATTTCGCCCAACTTCTTACCTTCTCCAGATTTCTTCTTCAGAATTTCTTTTTCCCAAAAAGAGATGTAGAGAGGGGGAAGGGGTATGTAGCGCATTGACGCTAACAGGAAAAACTGAGAAAAGGACAACGAAAATATTCTCTGCGAACCCAAACTCCCAAACAAGCCCCTCTTCCCACCTTTCGCTGAGGATCCCCTACACACGAGGTGTCTTGATTGTACCTCGATCGTTGGTGGGTCATTTTGAAATCGTGAAAGGGGGTGGGGCTGGTAAGAAAGGCTCAGTGATTTGGTTCTCCGTCCACCCGATTAAGGCGAAATTTGTCTTAAACTAGTAGCGTTAATGGTAAGGTAGCAGCAAACTACCATATATTTTGCGTAGGAGGATCTCCTTCCCCGACAGGGTCCATTTGGCCACGATCGTACTACTTACCCAGCGCTGATTTCTGAGTTCGTAATGAAAATATTTTAAGAGACGAGCGATGATGAAGCCGTCAGTTCATCTGATGAAGAAATGGATGACTCTTCTCTTGGACCCCACCTATATGATCGGTGATCGGGTTAAGCTACCCACCAGCCAGCCATAGGTCGAGGATACGAACAGCGGGATGAGAAAAATTTCATTGTCAGAAGACCCCTCCTCACTAGAAAATCCTTCGGCACGCCCTTTCCCCTTCCGCATGCTCTTCCTGAGTTTTCACAACTTGCTACCACTTCTCCCAGTTCTCCAAAAATTTCTCTTGCTTTTCTCCGAAAAAAAATTGGCGTCGAGTGGGGGAAAGTAGGGAAGAAAGGGCCTTCTCAACAGTGGCCAGCTTAGAAATACCTGATAGGCAAGAAATGAGAGAAACCGCGAAAAGTCTGCGACTGAAAAGTTTCCCTTGCGGCTGGGAAAAACTCTATCCACAGCAGATGGGACCTTCATTGGCGGATTGTCCTCCCCCACAAGTGGCTGTTTTATGCAGAGTGAACGCAGCTTAGTCTCGCCCGTTTTCATTTTTTTCTAATCCATATCAGCTTCAC